CTCAGTAGTTTTTACTGAGTTTTAATAAACACATCAACTAATAATAGTTTCTTATGTGAAATCAAAATTTATTTTTAACAACATATAAATTCATTCAAATGTTACTTTGGCAACTGTGAAATAAAGATAACCACTCAGTGTGTTATTGTTTTGTTTGTTAAACAGTTGTTAATTCACCCAATCCATATTAATTGAGTGCCTACTTTGCACCAGACATTGTTACAGGTGAGAAAGGGAAAAGAAGTCCCTGACCTCCAGGAGCTGATTTGGTTTTATTACCTTGGCCTTCATATTCTGCTGAACATAAACCATGGCCATGATGGATGAAAGGAAAAGCAAGATCATTCCACAAAATTTGGACATTGTTTAAGACACAACCATGACCAAATATCCCCCATCTTGATTACTACTAACTCTTTAATTTATTACAGATTTAACCACTCTTCTATAAAAGATTTGTTAAGATACTTAGTCATAGAATTATGCCGATTTCCCAGCAGCTTCCAAGCCAGAGCAAAGTCCTTATACTTTCTCCCACATCACCTAATAAAAAACTAAAACCCTAACACACTCTTATGAGACACCCATATGTCCTCATGACATATGAGACGACTTCAAGAAGGCTATAGAAAATGGAATTGGAAGATGTGTATTGCATAGCTCTAGAAAAGAAAGGTGACAAAAGATGCTTCTGTAGTAGAGGTTGGATGTTTAAAAGCTAGCAATGCTCAGGAAATGTCAGCAATGCAAGCTATTTGAAGCAGGACTTTAATAACAGGGCTCACTCTAGCCTTCATCCTTCTAAAAAAAGTTTGGATTCTTATAGGCTTATCTGTCACTATAAGCAGAGGTTCTCCAATTATAAGATCAGTTATAACAGTGTTTGCTTATCTCATTCTACAAATATTCACTGGAAACATGAGAAAATACAGCAAAATCTATATATAATAAGCTAATTATTCTAATCTCTGAGGAGATTATATAAATTTATAACAGAAATTCATAATATGGACCAATATAATACTATCATATAAATCCCAGAGGTGTGTATATGCTATTAACTTTAAAATAACAAGAGACACAATAAGAAAAATTTGGCAACTATGAAAAATGGTCACCATACAAGACTTAATGTGAAAACTGGAGCAATAAGATATAAAATCAAATGTAAGAAAACAAGAGAAGTGTATGAGAATCCTTCAAAAAGTTCAATGAAAATGCAATTAAAAGATAAGCTGAGGCTGGCATTGTGGCATAGAGTTAGGCCACTGCCTTTGCCATCTGTATCTCATATGGCCATTGGTTTGAGTCCCTGCTGCTCCACTTCTGCTTCAGCTCCCTGCTAATGTTCCTGGGAAAGTAGCAGAGGATGGTCCATGTCCTTGGGCCCCTGCACCCATGTGGGAGACCTGGATGCAACACCTGGCTCCTGGCTTTGGCATAGCCCAGCTCTGGCAGGCAATTTTGGCCATTTAGGGGGTGAACCAACAGGTGGAAGAGCTCTCTCTTGTCTCTCTTCCTCTCTCTGTAGTTCTGACTTCCAAATAAATAAAATTAATTCTTTTTTTTTAAAGATAAGCTTATTTTGGTGCAAAAATTGAAATCCATGCAGAGGATAGGTTCTCATTTATTTAAAGTGCATACAACTATAAATGGGTTTCAATATTTCTTTGTACAAAAACAAATTTATTTTTTAATTCTATTTCATGAACTTTCAAATATATACACATGAAGTGTTTTAATGATAAAAATCTATAATTTTTAATGACTGTAATTGGAAGTCCATAAAAACCTTTCATTGCACTCTGATTCCAATCACCTGATTTAATATATAATTTTTCTTGCATAATAAGATTATACACTTAAAAATATTTGTTTTTTATTTGAAAGGTAGACAACAGATAAAGGGAGGGAGACCCAGAGACAGAGAAACAGAGGGAGAGAGAGATCTTCAGTCTACTGGTTTACTCCTTAAATATCTACAACAGCCAGGTCTAGGCCAAGCTGATGCCAGGAGCCAGGAGCTCCATTTGGGTATCCCATATAGGTGGCAGGGGCCCAAGGCATCTTCTGCTGCCTTTCCAGGCACATTACTAGGAAGCTGGATTGGAAGTGGAGCAGCCAGTATTCCAACTGGCACTCTGCTATGGGATGCCAGTGTCACTGTGCCACAACACTGGCTGCTAGGATGCCAGATCTTATCCTGAAATTATAAATTCATGAAGAGCTAATTCTGTATTAAAGTTTGACTGCTTCCTAATTCATTATATGGCAGTAGCACACACCCTATTTTCTGGTCTATCATTCAGAATCAAGTTAATGAGGATTCAAAACAGTTTAATGCACACTTGATTACATTTATGTGATAAATTAGTTCTTGCAAACTATGTGCAAAGTGTTTTTTTTCACATATTCAAGTATATTTTAGTATACTACAGTATCCTCTATTTAAAGGAATAATATTTGAATCTTTTTTTGTTAATTTATCTGAAAGGCAGGGAAAGAAAAAGTGAGACACAGATAGCGATAGATCTTTCACACCCTGGTTCATTCAGGGCTGTACCAGATGTCACAGGAACTCAGTCCAGGTCTTCTTTGTAGGTGGTAGGAACCCAAGTACTTGAGTCATCATCTGCTGTCTCTTAGGGTCTATATTAGCAGAAAGTTGGATCGGAAGCAGAGGAGGGACTCAAATCCAGGCATTCTGATATGGGATGCAGGCGTCCCAATTGGTGACTTACCAGCCTTAGGAAAGCTCTTTTCTAGCAGTGTTCACAGGGGTGTTTGAGAAACAATTAGTAAAATGAAATCCTTTTTTTTAAAAAAAGATTTTATTTATTTATTTGAGAGGTGAGTTATAAACAGTGAGGGAGAGACAGAGAGAACGGTCTTCCATATGCTGTTTCACTCCCCAAATGGCTGCAATGGCTGGAGCTGGGCTGATCCGAAGCCAGGAGCCAGGAGATTCTTCTGGGTCTCCCACGCAGATGCAGGGGACCAAGTGCTTGTGCCACCTTCTACTGCTATCCCAGGCCATAGCAGAGAGCTGGATGGGAAGAGGAGTAGCTGGGACTAAAAACAGCGCCCATATGGGATGCTGGTGCTGCAGGAGGAGGATTAACCTACTGTGCCACAGGACCAGCCCCATGAAATGAAATCCTAAATTCAGTGTCTAAAACCCTTCACATTTCTGATACCCAGTTTAAGATCTACATCTACTTGGCCTCCCTTGCTCTTCCTTCCTGCCTATGCCTGTTTGCATACCTCTGATCCTCCTCTTTGACTCTGTTCATGAGGGGATCCTTCTCCACTTCATTCTGCACTTTTCCCCTTCAGAGAGAGACTATGAACTACTGAAGTAGGGGAGTTGTTTTGTTACTTGGTGTTCTCTCCCTCTGCCACTCCAAGGGCTGTCTCCAAATCACATATTTCCTTCCTAGCACTTCTATCTGAAGATATTTTTTTGCATTTCTCCATACCTTAGTTGTTTCCCTTTAATGGAATGTATGGTCCTTAAAAAAAAACAAGGACATCATTCAAAGTATATCCCCATTGCCTGGAGTAGTATCTAGTTCTCAAAATATACATCATGAATAAATATGCTGTCCAGGAGATTCACCTTTCTATGTAGATATAGTTAATTATATATTGCATTTAGTTAGTTTCTATCTATCAAATCATTTCTTGTTTTCAGCCCCATTGCCAGCCCTTGATTTGCAAAAGCCATGAATTTTAAGATCATATTTATTTTATTGCATTTATAAAGATTTATTTTATTTATTTGAAATGGAGGGAGTTAGGTAGAGAGAGAGAGAGAAAGAGAGAGACAGAAAATCTTCCATTGGATGGTTCACTTCCCAGATGACCTCAATGGCTGGGTAGAGCTGGGCCAGGCCAAAGCCAGGAGTCTAGAACTCCATCTAAGTCTCCCACATGGGTACAGGGGCCCAAGGATTTGAGCCATCTTCCACTGCTTTCCTTGGCACTTTATCAGGGAGTTGGATTGGAAGCAGAGCAGCCAGGACTTGAGCTAGTGAAGTGCCACAGCATAAGCCTCTATTTTACTTTATGTCAAGCTGTTTAACAACCAAGTTCAGTGAAGGCCTCTTTTTGAAGTAACTAGAAATTGTATATTCTTTAACAGGGGTAAATTTCAAAGTAAAAATTTAAAAAAAGTTTACAAACATCTGAGTAGAGCTAATCGTTTATTAATAATGTAGGAAATTTTATCTATACTTTGGAGAACATCTATTTTTAAACATTTATTTACTTGAGAGAGAGTGAGAGAGAGAAACGCTTTCCCCATTCACTGATTCACTACCCAATGTTTTTATTTCCATGGCTGGCCTAGGACTGAATCTGGCAACTAGGAATGCAATCCATGTCTCACATGTGAGTGGATGGCAGGAACCCAATTAGTTGAGCCACCATCACTGCCTCCCAGGGTCTGTATTGGGAAGAAGCTAGAGTCAGGAGCCAGAGTTTGCAACCAAACCTAGGTACTCCAATGGGATTCAGCCATCTTAACCAGTGTATTAACCTCTAGGCTAAATGCCCTCTCCCTAGAGAATTTCCTAATTGTGATTTGGGAGTTCACATGTTGATTCATGAAAATGATTGTGACGTAACACTTACTCAAACTCAGGCACTAACTATAAAAACTCAAAATCAATTATATGAACAAGCACATAATCATGCTTTTGGCCTACAACATGCCTTTTAGCAAAATCATGAGTCTTTTTTTTTTTTTCACAAAACATCTGAATTATTGGGGTCTAGACAGTACGCACCTATATGAGTGGCTTGTTAGGAATTGTTACCTTGGGACTGCTCTTAACATTATACATAAGTGTGGAAGCATTAACTTGCCAGGACATAGTTGGGCTACTACTTGAATTTCTTGAAATCGTTCCTCCTTGTCTCAGCCCAGCACGCAGGAGGTGAAGCAGCCTACCTTGACATGGGTTCCCTTCCTAGTCATGCGTGTATTACAGAATGTCATGACACATCAATGAGGACTGCATTGTGATGCAGTTCTGATGATGCCCCTGCCACCCTGTGATGCACCATAAAATGCTTAAAATGTGCAGTTCTCATGTGAAGGAGAGACGAAGCTCACGGCTTGAAAGTAGCGGCGGGGATTACTTCACTTGCTCTGTGAGTAGCTCCCTTTATAGGAGTCAGTTCCGTGGGGTGTGTCACATAGTGTAACTATCATAACATCAAAGTTAATAATAATTTTATCATTTATTGAGCATTCACCAGCTGCTAGGATCTGTCCTAGCTGCATATCTAGCTTATCTCATTTGATCTACTGAACTGCAGGTAGGTATCTATTCATATTTTCAGATGAGGAATCTGAGTCTTCCAATATTAGGTAACTTAGTCCAAGAAATTAGGATTAGGTGGAATGCGTACATGAAAACCCAGATAGGTTTGACTCTAAAGTGCATACTAAGCTTTAAGCTGTTCTGTCCCCAGGACCTAAGTTAGGCGCCACAGGAACAACCCAAAAACTCTCTTAACTTTCCAATTGGAAAAAGACTAAGCACTTTCTAATTCAAAGAGCCTATTTTCACTCACAGGAGAAAGTGAAACATTTCTGATGACAGATACGCACAACTTGCTCACCCCTCCTTAAGAAGAGTAAGAAAGTGGGAACTCAGGCATATGTTAAAATCCTCATTTAACCACAGTGTGCACATATATCAAAATATCATGTCACATGCCATGAATATAGGCAATCTTATTTATCCATTAAAAAACTGAATTTTAGAAATTTTAGAAGAAAATGGCAACAAAACTAGAACACAGCTGAAGCCTGTGAGAACGGAAAGGCACAACACTTTAAGCCAACTCCTGAGTTGTCAACAAAATCCCCGCCATGAGCTTTTGAAATCTGTTGGCGAGTCTCTGAATCCCTCTGAATCACAAGCACCTCACACACCAAAAAGGATGACAGTGCAGGCCCCCGCTTTCCCACAGCTGCGTGCATCCTGACATCAGGTCTTGCTTCCACTAGACTTCCTGCCGGGAAGGCCTTGGAGGGACCTCTCCATGAGCTCTTTCCATGATACACAGGGGCAAACGTAACCGTGTCCTTATGTTTTGTGGCACTCTGAACTCTGCGCCACGTATTTGAGAATCACTTATCTTCCTGTCTGTCCTGTGCCGCTATGCTCCTGGGGGACAGGGATTTGTTCATCATGTACCCCTCCTTTCTTCCTCTCCTCTGTAAACAATCCAACCAGTGGCCTACACAAAGTAGGCTCTCAACAACCGTCACATAGAAGAGGAGGCGTGATGCCCCACTCCTGTTTATTTCAGCCTCCGCATTTTGATCATTAAAAAGTAAGCTTTTAAAAGCATCCCAGAATTAAGACAGATACACTATGACCCACATTCCTAAAATGGCTGTTTTACTGGAACAATCAGGAAGGAGATATCTATCTCTAGGACAAGGAAACAGAGAGGACAATGCCTGTTTCTCTTCCTCAAGTCAAGAAAACTCCAGTTGTGGAGCTGTCACTACACCAATAATCAGGCCCCCCTCTCCTCTTCATTTTTTTTTTTTTCCATCTACTTGTCATGATTAAATGGATCCTCAAAGCTGACCCTTTTATCTTGTGATCTGAGAAGTACGGACTCCGTGACACTTCGCACAAATGCCACTACGCTACCAGTGGGATAAGCATTGTTCTTCCTTGAAATCTTGTTTTAAGTTCCTATATCAGAGTGGAAAGCGGGTCAGATGAACTCGAATTCAAAGCCACCTGGCTTCTGCTATTGCCAACCATGTAAATATCTTGTTTCTGCTACTGCTACTACTGCTTTTTTTTTTTTTCTTCTATTTGACAGAGGGGTAGAGAGAGAGAAAGATAACAGAGACAGAGACAGAGAGAATTGCCATTCTCCATTCACTTCCCAAGTGTCCTAGGAACTTAATACCCGGTTCCCAAGTGGATGGCAGGGACTCAAATACTTGAGCTATCACTACTGTCTCCGAGGGTGAGCTTTAGCTGGGATCCCTAGCGGAGCTGGGTCTCGAACCCAGGCAATCCCAAATGCCACGTGGCTTCTCAAGCGCATGGTCAACTGTTGGGCCTAAGCCCACCCTCGTCTTTTTAAAGCTGCCCTTTATCAGGCTGTAAACTGCAGGAAATGATTCTTCTCCAGCAAGGTTATTCATGGCGATGATGTCCATCACACGGTAAGTGCACAGTTCAACAATATTAAATGGTCGATAAATATTCGTTTTGAGGAGGGTTCTGAGCTATACAGAGACGGGAGAAGGGCCTTGACAAATACCAGCCTCTTCACAGCACGGGGTGGGAAGACAGAGCCCTCCCACCTCCCAACAGGGTATCACAGATAACTCACTCTTGCTCCTAAAATGCGTAAACGTCTTAACAGGGAGCCTTTCTCTGCATTCCCTCCCCAGCCGACGTGTGCGCAGAGGTTTCACAGGTAGTTTGAAACTTTGGGACTCTGCACCGCCAGGGACCGGCTCCCAAAGTCCACTTCTTCCCTGGAATACACTCGGGGTGTGCTTTTTCGCCTTGCAGCTGGAGGTTTCGTTTCCATTTCCTCCCAGGGCCGCATACGCACGAGCACGAGGGAGGTGGCTCGCCCGTGGCTCGGGGACTCGAGTGACTTCTGGGGCGGCCGCCGGCCTCCACCCACGGCCGAGGCCGTGACGTCACGGGTGGTGGCTCCCTCCCAGGCTGGGCGTATAAAGGGGCAGGTGCGCGGCGCTCGGAGGATCATTCGCACACCTCGGTGCCCGCGCCCCAGTCGCGGCCGAGCCTTCCCTAGCGAGCCCGGGGAGCCGAGCCGGGCCGGGCCAAGGGACGCAGCCACACACGCTCCTCTCCCCTCTCTCTTCCGCCTCCCCTCCTGCACCGCCTTCTCCGACCAGTAGCTCCTGTCGAGTTGCCCCAGAGACGGAGGCGCCGCCGCCCCGCGGGACCAATGAGAGCCCCGCTGCTGCCGCCGGCGCCCGTGGTGCTGTGGCTGCTGATCCTCGGCTCAGGTGAGCACCTGCGCGCGCTGAGCTGCCGGGCGCTTCTCACGCGGCAGCCCGAAGTGTCTCCCTTTGATCTGTGCAGCTGCATCTCCCCAGAACGACTTTGGACGCCTCCAACTTGGCCGGGCAGATAGCCATCCCCGTGCTCCACCTGCGGTTTCTCCAAGAGAGAAGAGAGGAGCCGGCGGATGTCTCAGGCGTCCAGGCCAGAGCGAGGGTGCCGCCGGGGAGAACCCCTGTGCTTTTATTTCCGTGCAGCTGGTGGGGCCTTTAGGAATCGTTTCCTCCTAACCCTGCCGAGGCCAGGCAGGTGAAGGGATTTCCACAGATGCCAGAGCAGTGAATTCCTGCACCCAGGAGTGTTCGCTGCCTCCTACTTAAATTCCCAGCTCCTCGGCCTGGTGATTTCCTTTGTACTTTCCTGGAGAGACTCTCAGGGTTCGTTCAGAGCACCCCTCTGGTGCTGTTTCCTTGAGACCAGCAAGGTACAATCAGGCTTGAAACTCGGGGCCCCAAGTCTTCCCTGCGCAGCTGTTTCTTCCCTGTGTAATAACCATATAAATGTATTTTAAAAAATGATAATAGTCATTATTATCAGCTGTCATTTATATTACTTTTTATACTCCATATACTCTTAAAAATATGAGCAACATGTTTAGAAAATCTGATAACTACATAGAGAACCTACTAAAATGGGCCAGGATAGCATTCTAGCAAACGGTGTGTTGGGAACGTGAAGCAAGGGGAGATATTTAGACATTTTCTGATAATTCTATTATGTTGCATTGCCTGTTTGGCGGCGGCATCATCATCATCATCATCATCATCATTTAATGTGGAAATTAATGTAGATGATCTGTGGAAAAGAAAACCCGGATAAAAGCAGCTCTGTAATTGGAACAGCTGAGTGTGCTTGTTGGCAAAATGCGAAGTTGCTTTCATAAGTGACTCAGTCCCAAACAATAGCGGGCCCATGTGCAATAACTGCTTTGATAGCCGAGGACAAACATTTCTACCCAACACAGTTGACTGGTGAGAGAGCCCTCGCTTTACCTTTTCTTCTCTTGTCCCCTCCCTGCCCCCTCTGCAGGTCCCTCTGCGGCTGGATTGGAACTCAATGATACCTACTCTGGGAAGGGAGAATCGTTTTCCGGGGACCACAGCACTGACGGGCTTGAGGTCACCTCTAGGAGTGAGATGTCCCCAGGAAGCGAGATTTCCCCTTTGAGTGAAACGCCTGCTACTGGTGACCTGTCCTCCGGGGCGGACGATGACTATGCAGAAGAGTATGATAATGAACCACAAGTGTCTGGCTATATCGTAGATGATTCAGTCAGAGGTGAGGAGAGGAGAAAGCGAAAATGTGGGCTAAGGCTGTACAGGCTGATTTGGGCAAAACTGCTGCTTTTCAGAAGAGAAGCTGCACCCCAGATTGTCAAGTGCTTTCTTGTGTGTGTTGTCTCTTGCATGCCCTCTAGGTAACCGACACAGAAAAGCCATAGGCGGGCACATCTGTAGGTCTAGAGTGCCAACAGGTGTTTTATGTCTGTTAAGTCTAATCTTCACAGGAGCTTTAGCAAAGTGGAATTGTTATTTTCATTTGGCTAATGTGATGCTACCTGAAGCTCAGTAGGGTTAATTGTTTTGCCCAAGGTTACACAGGTGGTGAGCAGATGAGCCAGAATTAGTGTGCCATTCTGCTTGGTTCCTGATACTGTGTTCTTTCCCATCATGCTGTATGACTGCCATTCTGAGACAGAGGTGGACATTCACCATTCCTGTCCACTTTGTATCTTGGTTTTTGTATCTCCACCCCCAACACCACCCTGCCAAATAAGCTGCATTTCTAAAGATTTATTTATGTATTTGAAAGGCAGAGTTACATACAGAGAAGGAGAGACAGAAAGAAAGAGAGAGATATCTTCCATTCGCTGCTCCACTCCCCAGATGGCCTCCATACCAAGGCCGGAAGCTAAGAGGCTGGAACCCCACTTGGGTTTACCATGGAAGCTGCAGGTGCCCAAGAAATTGGGCGATCGTCTGCTGCTTTTCCAGGTGCATTGCAGGGAGTTTGTATAGGAAGAGGAGCAGCCAGGACTCATACCGTGCTCAGCTGGGAAGGTGGCACTTTGCAAGCAGCTTAACTGCCTGTGCCTCAATGCCAGCCCCAATAACTAGATTTTAACAATAATCAGGGAACAGAAGGAATAGTGGGATAGGAGTTAGACAGAAGTTTTTTTAAGCATTAGGTATGGAGAAGCTAATGATAATAATTATGCTTTTTGGGAGTATTCAAGGAGGACAAATATGCATAAATTTAAATAGCTGAAATCACTATTTAACCCCACATACCATTTAAAAGTTAAATAACAGGCCTGCGCAGCGGCTCAATAGGCTAATCCTCAGCTTGCGGCACCGGCACACCGGGTTCTAGTCCCAGTTGGGGCGCCAGTTCTGTCCCGGTTGCTCCTCTTCCAGTCCAGCTCTCTGCTGTAGCCCGGGAGTGCAGTGGAGGATGGCCCAAGTCCTTCGGCGCTGCTCCCACATGGGAGACCAGGAAAAGCACCTGGCTCCTGGCTTCAGATCAGTGCGGTGCGCCAGCCGCAGCACATCAGCTGCAGCGGCCATTGGGGGGTGAACCAACGGCAAAAGGAAGACCTTTCTCTCTCTCTCTCTCTCTCTCTCACTGTCCACTCTGCCTGTCAAAAAAAAAAAAAAGTTAAATAATAGGATAATAGGGAACCGTGTTTTCCTTCACTTTTGTTGTTATCTAATCTTTGGAAAAGACCCTTTTCTTAAAGTGAGATTCCCCAAATAAGAGACAAATATTATTCATCACTTTAATACAACTTTGAGTTTGAGGGGAAGAGGTCATCAGTACTTAAAATCTAATATCCTAGGAGCATCTCTATGGAGGCAGTTGATTCACAAGCCCCAATTTAAGGCCTTTTCTCTCCTGATCTGAGTTACCCTGACTCCTCCCCTTCTCTCTGGTTCCCAGAAGTGGTGCAAAGAGCAAATGCTGCCACAGGCTAAGAGATTGGGGTAGATGACTGGTGGAAATGCTTTAACGAGCATTCCATTTCACTCCCTTGCTTCTGAACTTTTGGTTTTATGTGATGTGGCGAAGGGGTCTATTTATAATTCTTATTTTCAGGGGCATGAAATTAGACCATCAGGGTGCCTGGAAACTGCCTCTTAAAGATGCTTCACGTTAACACTTCAGCACACCAAAGAAGTTAGTGGCACAAAGGGCCAGTGCTCGAAACTGCAATGTATTGTGAACTCGAGTTAAAAGCTATAGAAATACTTCAGTGTAGTGACTATATTTTATCTGTTCTTGTCAAGAATTTGAAATCTGTGGATGTGAAGCAATATTAGTTTAAAATGTTTCTTTTAGAGGACTTATTCTAACTTGGATTCTTTTATTATTAGAGGGATGTTTCAATATAGAAATTGCATTAACCCCTATTGAATATGGCTCCTAATATGACTTTGAAAAAGTTATTAGTTTGCTAAAATATTTATATTATTTGTCCTTTCCTAACCAGAAAGGCTCTGCTTATGATACCCTGTGAACCTTACCATGGTTCTAAAGTTTTCTATTTAATGGGTATGTATGATCATTATGATGAGTGGCATTACTCTTCACTGGGCACTGTTTGCCAGATATTGGATCAGATAAACCTATTCAGGGGTTACTGTAACAAAATGCATAGCATTAACACAGAAATAGCCCTTAATTTGATGAACTGTCATTTCTTAACTTCTCATCCTGGGGCAAGTAACTTACCGTCATTGAACTTTAGTTTCCTCATCTGTCTCATGTGGGTAATATTATATACAAGTGTCATTTGTGTTTAATTGAGTTAATGTTCATTACCCCAACTTTTGAATGTAATAGAAATTCAAGAAATATTTAAAATGTGTAGTGGATTTTTCTTATACATGTAATTCCTATTATCAGTAATGCTGCTGCTGCTGATACAAATGAATTCAAAATTTGTGTGTAAGCTAGTAAAATCACCAAGTGTTCAGATTTTTTAAAAAAGATTTATTTATTTATTTATTTGAAAGAGTTACAGAGAGTCAGAAGCAGAGGGAGAGAGAGGTCTTCCATCCGCTGGTTCACTCCCCAAATGGCTGCAACAGCCAGAGTTGGACCAATCCGAAGCCTGGAGTCAGGAGCTTCTTCCAGGTCTCCCACACAGGTGCAGGGGTCCAAGGACTTGAGCCATCTTGTACTGCTTTCCCAGGTCATAACAGAGAGCTGGATCGGAGGTGGAGCAGCCAGGAATTGAACTGGTGCCCATATTGGATGCTGGCACTGCAGGCGACAGCTTTACCCGCTACACCACAGTGCTGGCCCCAGTGTTCAGATTTTTAAAAGTTATTTTCTTTGTGAATGTATGGTGTATGTATCATGATGAACAACAAGACAAACATAGCCATTATTCCTGTGAGTTCTTACTGCTATGTTTTCTCTCTCACTAAGGTGTGCAAATGGTATATAAGATTAAGGGAGATTATCATAATAAATCTTATCTTTTTTAGTTGAACAGGTAATTAAACCCAAGAAAAACAAGGCAGAAAGTGAAAAGACTTCAGATAAACCCAAAAGAAAGAAAAAGGGAGGCAAAAATGGCAAAAACAGAAAAAACAAAAAGAAGAAAAACCCATGTGATGCAGAATTCCAAAACTTCTGCATTCATGGAGAATGCAAATATATAGAGCACCTGGATGCAGTAACGTGCAAGTGAGTTTTCCTAAGTTATACAGAATTCTGTGTTTCTAACACTTGTCTGAAATCCCGAGACTCAGAAAGCCATTCATTTTTTTCAATGTATAAACCAAGGTTCAGCAAACTTTTTCTTAAAGGACAAGATAGTAAATATTTTGGGCTTCATGTCCCAAGATGATGTATGTAGTTATATATTCAAATAAAATGGAACCATTTTTTTAAGATTTATTTTATTTATTTGGAAGACAGAGTTACAGAGAGAGGCAGAGTCAAAGAGAGAGGGAGGTCTTCCATCCGATGGTTCACTCTCCAAGTGACCACAATGGCCAGAGCTGAGCTGATCAGAAACTAGGAACCAGAAGCTTCTTCTGGGTGTCCCACGTGGGTATAGGGGTCCAAGGACTTGAGCCATCTTCTGCTTTCTCAGGCCAAAATAGAGAGCTGGATTGGAAGTGGAGCAGCCGAGACTCAAACTGACGCCCATTTGGCATGCTGGCACTGTGGCCCAGGGCTTTAACCCACTGCACCACAGCACCAGCCCTGGAACCATTTTTTTAAAAATCTAAAATCATCCTTTCCTTGAAGGCTATAAAAAGACTTGGTAAATGCCCAGACTTCATCTATGGGCTAGTGTTTGCTGATGCCTGTTACAAACTATAAATTTTTTTTACAAACTATAATTTTGCAATACATTTAAAAAAAAAACCTTTTCTTCAAAAAAAGGACCTGAAAGTGTTTTTCTGATAACCTTGTTCTAACTTCTTTTCATCCGAATGCTGCTAGCACATTAGGTGATAGTGGTATGTACTAACTGCCCAACAAGTCACTGAACTCATCAGTTGGTCATAAAAAGTGTACTAAGAGTTGCAAGGTGTGTCTTGGAACATGATACTCAACTAATTCAACGTGTTCCTATACTAATACATCTTTTGTGAGAATCCGATCTACAACTCATGATTTTGAAATACAAATAAATTGAATAACCCTTTTAATATTGGAATTCAAGGGCTATTTATGACCTGGAAAGTAAGCTTAGAATCCATAAATGTCTCTGGTGATTATAATTTTCAAATGTGGGCTCTTTGCAGATGTCATCATGATTACTTTGGTGAACGCTGTGGAGAAAAATCCATGAAGACTCACAGCATGGTGGACAATGATTTATCAAAAATTGCTTTAGCAGCCATGGCTGCCTTTGTCTCTGCTGTGAGCTTCACAGCTGTTGCTGTTGTTATTACAATCCAGTAAGTATGATAAGACTATTAATATTATGGCATGTTAAGTTTTTTGGTATTTCTATGATACTCTGTTGTCATAACTTAGATGAATTATTATGTGGAAGGTGTGTGCTCTTTGGTTCATATCTTTACAGGTCATTGACAAAGATCACAGAATGCGGTCAAAACTTACATTACTTTGGCTGCTATTAAAGCTTAATATATTATAAGGCCCTTTCTCAGAATATCTAACAATTTTTAAATACAAAAATTTATGGTTTTATTTTATGTTCCACTTCTATTCATGATTATTCTAAATCTCAGAAAGTGTTGATATCTTCTGTGAATGTTACAAAGTCTGAGCAAGTACTCCAGAAACTAATTCATGGCTGTAATAAACTCATAAGGTCAGACATTTTGCTTTGGTGCTAAAACTCACCAAGAACTTCAAATGAGCAGCCAAGAGAAGATATGTTTTCTGCTCATACTAGAATGTCAAATCCTGAGTTAAGAATTGCGTAGCATGGGACTAGTTTACTTAGAACTCATGCCTATTTTGTTATTGTTAAATGTAATAATATGGAGACTCACCTTTTAAAAAAAATTTCCTGCATATGGTATGGTGTAGGAAGCCAGGATAATTCCATTACTGTTCAACCCTATAATGACTTCCCTATGCTTATAATAACAGATCGCATACTTCATGACCAATGAATGCTAGAACTAGACTGCACCATGTAGTGGGCACTAATGGGAACATCAAATGGCATTGTCTGTCCAACAGAAGCCAGAATAAGGGAAGTTGGAGGAGGGCATGGATGTCTCTATGATGACTCATGTGCTACTGGAGCTTGGGAAAAGCAATGCATTCATTATTCTAATTTTAGGTCTTGGTAAATTACTGTAACAACTGGATTATGTACATGATCTACCACTACTGCCATTCAGGAAACAAGGGGTTATCTTCTGTCATTGTTTACTATTATTTTGAATTCAAATGAGATAGTGATAAAATAACACATAAGAAAACTCCCTTATCATGCGCATGAAGTTGGATGAGTGTTTAAATTTATTCTGATCTTCTAGTACCTCAAGCTAGATATGCAAATATGTTTAGAAAAGATACCTTCAGATGCATCATTATTACTTGACATTGAAGGATAGAAGAAATCAAATGCTAATTAGGGAAACATTTTACAATAATTAAACTTATAATTATTTCGCTGAAATATTTAATAATCTTTTATAAAAGTATGAAAAGACTTTGTCATATTGGAACTTTTGAAGTAGTGACTTTTCTACTTTTCTTTAATATTCTTCTTGTATTTTAATCATACATACAACAAACACTAGGCCTAAGCCATGGTTGCTAGGGTGGTACCTTTCATAATTGGAGTGAATTTTTTTCTCCAAATATGACAATGGAAGAAAAGTTGTTATGATTTCAATGATATTATTTAGTAGATAGGTTAAATATCTATTAAAATAGAATTACTGGTACACCAAGAATTTTTCAAACCATTGGGTTGAATGTAGTAATTAAAAAAAAAAAAACAAGAAAGAAATATTTACATTTAAAAACAAAGTCCAACTTCTTTGATAAGCCTATTTGAAAAGAAATTTCTAGTCATTTAAGTTGGTTTGTGCAAGCATAGATTCTATGTGTGGTAAAACTATGCTAGCATCATTTCCTGCAGCTGCACATGGAGGTCAGTTAAGTTCTGACTTACCTCCTGAAATGAAATTCTGTGTCTCACAACACTTATTTAAACCACAGTCCAGCGTCCTCTGGAAATGTGCTTATAGAAAGTCAGTATAGGGGTCAACACTGTGGCACAGTGAGCTAAGCCTCTGTCTGTGGCACTGGCATCCTATATAGGTGCCAGTTCATGTCTTGGCTGCTCCCGGGAAAGCTTCAGAGGATGATTCAAGTGTTTGGGCCCCTGCACCCATGTGGGAGACCCATAAGAAGCTCCTGGCTCTTGGCTTTGGATTGAGCCCAGCTCTGGCCATTACGGCCGTTTGAGGAGTGAACTGATGGATGGAAGATGTCTCTCTCTGTGTCTCCCTCTTTCTGCCTGTAACTCTGTCTTTCAAATAAATAAATGAACCATTTTTTTTGAAAGAAAGTATAAATGCCCTCAGAAAAAAAGTATTGATAGTATCATATCATATAGTTGGGTTTAGTTTTGGTTTAGTGCCAAGTAAAAGTACTTAATTATCTATAAGGACTCATAAAAAGGATTTCCCTGAATTCATGAAAACTCCATTCAATATATAGATAAATGGAACTTTGATAACAGTAGAATGTCTTCTTTTCTAAAGGCTTCGAAAACGATGCTTCAGGGAATATGAAGGAGAAGCTGAAGAACGAAAGAAACTTCGACAAGAAAATGGAAATGCACCTGCCATTGCGTAGCTGAGGATAACACAGGTTTGAATTTGTAAAAACAAAATAGTTAGATAACATTTTAGAATTTTGAAAAATAAAATACTCAATTATCTTAAGAAAAATGAGGAATGTATTCTAAATTATGGGTAGAATATGAACAATGACTTTATTAAAATATTTTCCCTTTGGGTATGAGGTAAAGTTCAATACTAAGGATAGATTATGTGCTTAATCAGTTTGTAAGGGAGATAGAGACACCGATCCTGTCTCAAATAACTTGTGATTTAGTGGATAAGAGAAAAATATAGGGAACTGGAACACTGGGATGGGGGAGGGGGATATAAGACAGGCACCAGTGAAGAATGAGGAGTTTCCCATGAAAAAAGAATCTAGTGGAGTGTACTTCAGGAGCAGAAGGGTTGTGATTTGGGATGGCGTTGGAAGTGAGCCTTTAAAGGGCTGCTGAGATTGGGACAAGCAACCATGAAAGGGAAGGGAGGGTAATGCTGAGAGGTAGAACAGGCCGTTTTAGAAGCTTATGGAAAATGGTCTTGTTTGAATGAATGTGAGCGGAGATAAGGTTGAAATGATAGGTTGACCTCACACAGTGGAGAACCAAAGTTCTGGCAATGGCATTAGAAGTGGACTTACTGGGTTAAATATTCTGCCAAAGAGAGGTAGTACATAGAGGAGGGGGGTGGGTCAAAATTTGAGAAATATCTTGGGCTAGATTTCATAAAGAGTGAAAGCAGGGCATATTGTGGGTATAAGATAAGAAAGTGTGAAGAGAGGTATTCATTGTTATTGAAAGCAAGGGGAAAGAAACTTCCATGAGAAGAGCGAGACTAGGAGACCAAGGACACAATTCAGTGAGTCTGAAGAAAGGATTTGGTTTCCCAGATACTCAGAAAAAGACAGCGTCACATCCTTATCTTATTGGATTTCTAACATCAGTGGGATTGTTACTTGAAAAACTTGTTATATATGCTTATTCCTAAGCCCAACATTAAATCTACTGAATAGAATATCTATTTTTAACAAACACTCTAGATAGATTTGATCCTTAGAGAACCATTACATTTAGCATTAGCTAAAGGTCAATATTATGTTCTTAGCCTATTACAGAATTAGCTCAATAACTCAAAAAATGGATAATTATCTGTATCAATGCTGTACTCAGTATTTATTGTATCAATTAATTAAAGTATTGGCTTAATAGGCTGAATCTAGGACCACTAATATGAATAAAGGTGGATTTTTGGTTATTTAATGCTATTGAGATTTCTCAACGTAGGTCCAGAATGACTTTCGGAAAAGGAATATGCTGAGTGGCACAGAGTGGCCTCCTAATTATCTGGGTAGCTACTACTATTATGCCCTTGGCACTAATTATCCTAAATTAACTGTATATCATAAATACCCAGGGCCATTTAATCCTTGATTTTAATTATGTCCACCGCATAGATTTGATTGGGAAAAATGTTTCTCATGACTGCTGTCATCTTTTATTAGACAGATTTTCATGCAAGATTTGAGCATACAGTCTTCTACCTAAGTAGTCAAATGTCCCTAGCTAGTATGAAACAGGTTTAAGCCAGAATGATTGTTTCTGAAAAACTCTTAGCCTTTCTTATAACACATCCTAGAGAAACAGACAAACAAGCACAAACAGAAAATCTGGTACTCAGTTCTTTGAAATTTCTTGAAGCTATGATGGAGTTGAGCTTATCTCTAATATTTTATTTTCTAACAGGATATCGTATTGGAGCCACTGCCAAGTCACAACTATGAATGATGTGTTGGTCTGCTTTTCACTGGATCATAAGAAAATGGCACCATTTTGTTCTGATGCTTTTAAACTTTCAATTGTCACTTTTTATGCTAAGTCTTATTTCTGTACATAAAGATGCATGGAGATAAAAAGTATTTTTTCAAGTTGTAAATAATTTATTTAATATTTAACAGAAGTGTATTTATTTTATGGTTCATTAAACTTTTTTAATCAAACTGATTTATGAGTTTGAATATTAGTTTTGAAATTGTGAGACTCTGGGTTATTTTTTTCCTCATACTTACTTGGTCATTTAAAAATAATTTCCTCTTCTTTTCTACATTTATCTTGATTTTAAAACATTCATTTTTTAGAAAGCACTTTTAATGCAAAAATTATAAACTAGAATTAGACTTTTCACAAACACTAATAATATTCATATTAACCATCAGAAATTGGCCTTTCTTGCTCCACATAGAATTTACAAATCCTTAGGGCTGGCGCCATGGCTCACTTGGTTAATCCTCCGCCTGCAGTGCCAGCATCCCATATGGGCACCGGTTTTAGTCCTGGATGCTCCTCTTCCAGTCCAGCTCTCTGCTGTGGCCTGGGAGGGAGTGGAGGATGGCCCAGGTGCTTAGGCCCCTGCACCCACATGGGAGACCAGGAAGAAGCTCCTGGCTCCTGGCTTCAGATCAGCACAGCTCCGGCCATGGTGGCCATTTGGGGAGTGAACCAACGGAAGGAAGACCTTTCTCTCTGTCTCTCTCACTGGCTGTAACTCTACCTGTCAAATAAATAAAAATAAATAAATAAATAATGAATTTACAAATCCTGTTAATTATCCAAGCATCTGGAATCAGTATGTGGCACTGCCTTCTTATCAGAGATTCCTACCATACATAAAACAAAGCAAACTGACTGCACATCATGATACGATAGATGAAGACAGGAATAGAGAGGAATATCATCAAAGTGATATTTTGAGAGAACCGGGAATTATTTGCATTCAAGGTTTCTTTACCTAGTATCACAGCATGAATGACTGAGGAATCTAAAATCCGCTCTTCCCTCCCTTTGCTACTCCTTTTTTTAATTATATTTTAAGCAAATGCATGTGTGCATTTGTAGAGATGTTCTTTCAAGAACATTGAGATTATTAATTAACTCATAAGTTGGTTGCCAGTGACTTGGGCATAAAACAAGACAACCTTTATAATGTATGGGGCAATATTTTGAGAAAATTAACCAATAATAAACATAGCACCAGCCATTATCTCATAGAATTTCATGAGTGAAAACTGCTTCAAGTGTCAACACTTCCATCTGTTTCTGGCGTATCACCCACCAAATCCTTGAGCAGGGATCTTCTAATTAACTGATCCCCAGGGATCTTCTAATTAACTGATCCCCAGGGATCTTCCAATTAACTGATCCCCAGGGATCTTCTAATTAACTGATCCCCAGCCTCTGCTGCAGATCTCGCGTGAGGAGCTTTATGTCTAAGCACCCAGACTCCATTCCCATACTCTGTGGAGTGAGTTGCTGACATCTGTATTTTCAGGAGATCTAGATCTTTCCCATATGCTGCCGCCAGTGTTGAGTATCTTATTTACCTCTGCTTGAACATCTTCAGCACACATTTTCCTCATCTTTGTTTACTAAATATTTATTGTAGAAGATTCAACTGTTGGGGATAAAAGATTTGGAGCAAAACCTTGACTTGAGAGATTGACCATGTAGTTGGCAGCTCTGTGTCTTGCCAGTGCAGTGCAGGGACTGAGGTGCACTCTAGAGATCCATGTGGGCCCAGGAAGCCCTTCCCTAGCCCAGCCTGATCCAGGGACAGCTCTCTGGGGAGCTGCTATGTGAGATTTTCTTTGAAGGGTGAGTTATGGTGAGAAGAGGGTTACAGGCAAAAGCAGTTACAAAGTCACCAAAAAGTATGACCTGACAGTAAGATACCAAAGATAATTCAGCATTATTGAAACCAAAGTGTGAAATGAAAAGAGACCCTAAGAAAAGGTATAAAGGATGATGAGGGCAAGCCCACACAGAACTTTGACCTTATCCTGTTGGTCATGGGGAGTAGTTCTTGCCAGTTGATCGGGGTAGACACTTGAACAGATACACATTCAAGATGGGTCATCAGCCACTGTGTAGAACCCTTGAGCCAAAGCCCATAAGAGTGTCTAGATTGGAGTCTCATATCCATTTCCAATCCAGCTTCCTGCTAATGTTCATTCTAGAATGGAGCAAGTGGTAGCTTAGGGTCCATGACATTCACCAGAAGATTTGATTGAGTTCCAAGCTCCAGGATTTGGCCTGGTCCAGCCTTGGCTGTTGCAGGCATTTGGGAACTGAATTTGTAAATAGTAAGTCTCTCTCGGCCTTTATAAAAATGAAAATAGATAAATGGATAAATTTAAAATAAAGACTCCCTCAAATTGGCTTATTGAAATTTTAGGTGGGAAGTATGGCTTTTCATTTATCCTTGACTGAAGAATTGAGAGCTATTCTTGATTTTGGAAAATTCCTACCCAGCCAAATAGTCTTCTGAGTCAACCCTGCCCTTTATCTCACAACCGAGGCTGAGCATGGAAAGGCAAGGACCAAATCTACACTGTCATGATGAGTTCAGCTTTGACTGTTCTGAAGTCAAGGTTATGGGAGGTATTCAAGAAGCAGTTAGATATTCAAATCTGAAGTTCAGGGAGGGAAAAATTGTAGATTTGAAGTTATCAAAATATATTTGGAAGAGCAATGACTACAAAAGTGCCAAAAATTACCAATATGAGTCACAGACAAGAATGTTTACATTAACAAATCATCCCGGGGATCACCAGAAACTTGGAGGGTCTGTTAACAACTGTGAAAGTTTAAGGTACTTGCTTGCTTTTCCACGTGTTTTCAATCCCTAGAACTAGTCTGTGAAGTCATTACTGTGGAGTAAAAGGGAAAAGCTGCTACCTTTATAATCATAATAAAAATCTCAAATTTATTGACTTTGCTGTCCCATGGACTCTTTTAAGTACTTTACACACAGCAAATCATCTCATACATTTCCTTAGAGGGAAATATAGATAAATACAGACAGCCAATGGAAGGCTCAGAGAAAATAAGTAACTTGTCCCTGGTCACACAAGCTAGTAAATGACAGTGGCACACTCTTCTGGTGATAGATCAATCCACTTAAACTCCTTTCTACTTCTTTAATTGTCATTGCATTCGCTTTGGGATTACAGAATTCTATCCACATACCAATTTATCATGTAACTGGATTTAAGATCTTAAATGGCTGGTTTATATATATTTATGATCCAAATGAGATGACACTTTTTCTTATTTTTAAGATTTCTTCATTTATTTGAAAGTCAGGGCTATACAGAAAGAGAGAGAGAGAGAGAGAGAGAGAGAGAGAGGGAGAACATTTTTCATCTTCTGGTTCACTCTCCAGATGCTGCAACAGTGAAGGCTGAGCCAGACTGAAACCAGGAGCCAGGGGTTTCATCCTGGTCTCCCACATGGGTGGCAGGGGTCCAAACACTTGGGCCATCTTCCACTGCTTTTCCCAGACCATTAGCAGGGAGCTGGATGGGAAGTGGAGTAGCCAGGACATGAGGTTTACCTGCTATGCCACAATGCCAGCTCTGATACTTTTTCTTAATCTACCTGTGCTGCATCCACATAATTTCGGAATCTATCCCCTCCCTCATCATCTCTTATAATATGACTCCCTCTTGTTTATGAAGTGCACACATGGAGTGATAAACAGAGATGAGGATGTATCAGCCAAACACATCTTAGAGATACACAATTAAAGTTGGTTGCTGCTCTTTATCCGAAAGAGTGACTCCACTTTCTGAAAAGGCTGTTATTTAATTAATTAGATAGCATCTACATACATGTGCTTTGCTTAAAAGAAAGGGAATTTCTGGGGTGCTGATTGGCTTGGGACGGAATGTCAGCATTCCTTCATGGAGGCAAATCTCACTAATTCTAGGATTTGATAACATTTAGTTTAATTTTTTTTCCTATTCATGGTCTCAAAGGCTAGAATTCTAGTGTCAAAGTTAATTCCAGATGATTATCAGGCAGGATGGTTGGGGAACATGTAGCAACACGAGTTGTCTCCTCCATGGGTCCCTCCAGCACTGTAGCACTTGGGACAGGAGTGTGGCATCACAGCCAGGGCTTGCCAGCTCCTCACCTAAGGAATTCATCTGAGGAAGTAGTTGAATGCTTCTGCTGTTTGGCAGTATCCTACCTTAAGCTTTGATATTTATTCCATATAAAGAAAGTCTACCTTGTAGCTCAAGAATCACACAATTCTGCCCACCTTATTTCAGGTTAATTATCTCTTCTTCCAGGAGACCCTTCTCCACTCTCTGATTTGCCCTCAGGCTAGATAGGATGTTCCTATTACATATTTTCAACACACTTATTAATATTTCTGTGTGTTTATTTAACATATTCTCCCACCAGTCTATAAACTCCAAGGGGCAGGGATTGAATCCTTTTCACTCACAATAAATACAAACTGATTGAAAAATAAATGGTAGAGAGTCATCAATATTATTTCTTCTTGTAATTGTCATTACTACAGAAAATATTGTACAACTGGATAGAATCATATGGATGTGAAATTTCGATAATGTCTTTATTCACTAGCAAAAATCCTTTCCTTGGTTAGGGAGTAACAATATTTCTCAAGATTGTGTAAAAATTATACATAATTTCTGGTCAATTTGCATGGGTCTCATTTGGAATTCAACTCAGGAGAAATTTCTTACATTTAAACTGTTTCTGATCTTAGATATTTCTCCCCTCCCCTCCCCTCCCTTCTCCTTTTTTTTTTTTTTTTTTTTTGCCTCTAGGTGTTCAGCCAGTATATTTTGAGTGTCAACTGCATGACTAGGTAAGTTGGGATGTGAAGATAAATAAATAAAAGGAGTCTTCAAAATATTCATGGAAAATGTGTACTATAAAAAACTAGGAAGGGGACAGCATTGTGGCACTGCAAGCTAAGTTGCCACCTGCAATGCCAGCATCCCATTTGAGTGTTGATTTCAGATGCAGCTGCTTTGCTTCTGATCCAGCTCCTGATAATGTGCCTGGGAAAGAAGTGGAGGATGTTCCAAGACACTTGGGCCCCTCAACCCCATGTGGAAGATCTAGGGAAGATTAACTATCTCTCATCATTGTTGATCAACTCAACTTTCAGTCCCTCTAACCTACCC